AGACGGCGACGATGGAGAAGTCGCGAGGCGGGGGAACTGCAAGAGGGCCGCGCGCGGCGCTAGTGCTCGTCAATGGCGCACGACAGCACGGTGATGCTGGAACCGTTCAACGAAAGTTTCCACTGTTTGATTCGAAACCTTCAACCGACGGCATAAAAAGCTTCAACCGAGACACTGCGTAATTTAAAAGCTGCAATCGTCATAAGAAAGCTACCATCGTTCTGGAAAAAGATTCAAGTAGAATACTGATTTTTGAAGGTGGGGCATTGCGCAAACCCAAAAGGTGGAACTCGCTACGAGAAAAGCTTTAACTGACGGCAAAAAAGGTTTCAACCATAGACAAGGGAAGCCATGGACGACGACGAAAAGGTGCAACCGGCTTCGTTGTTTGCTAAAACCGGCTTTTTTGCCACAACCAGAGGATGGTGAGTGTGATGACCGTGCACGGCGACTTATTTTTTTGCCACAACCGGCTCGTTTATTTGCTACGACCATCTTCGTCTTTGCTACAAACAGAGGCTCGGTGAGCGTGCTGACCGTGGGAGGCGAGGATAGGCGAACGACGACGAGGACGGCCAGCGAGGGCGGCGAACGGCGATGAGGAGTCGAGGACGGCCGGCGGAGGCGGGGACAGGCGATGAGGACGTCCGGCGGGGGATGGCCATCGGAGAGTCTGTGCAGCCGGCAAGATGAAAGAGAGCGAGATGCATGAGAAAATTTTCATACACGTGTGGCATGCGACGGTTACGATCCATCAGATGGGATGGCTGCAGGCCGATCGGCCCAAATTTGGGCGGGCACCCGCCTTCCAAATTATACTACCGCCGGTCTGCCCATTACTGACGAGAAGTGCACATGGGCAAAGCTTCGTAGGTACGTAGCGTCAGTATGGTATGGATGGAAATGGAGTGGACGGATCCAGCAATAGTGCAGGCCTGTGACCGTCCGATTATCCCTGCTTATTTCACCGTCCGATTTACGAGTGCGATCACTGGCCAGCGTTCCGATTTACGAGCTCGGGGATGGCCCGGCCGTTTGTCCGGAATCGTGGCAACTTGCAACGCACAGTACTGCTGACTGATTGATGCTCGATCGCTGCTGGTTGGTGCCACATGCACTGCCATGCACGCGACGCACACTCCTCCGGTGGCCATTGGCGTGTGCCTCTGGCCGGCCGGGCCACTCCATCCATCCATGGGGCTCCGTCCCGGCCGTGTCTCGACCGCCGTGCTCGCTCCGGCTGGCGCTACCATCCACGGCCGCGCCCGCCCGCTCGATCGCAGCACGTACGTACGTCCCCCAGTGGCCACCACCCAAGCAATCCTACTGCCTGTCACTTGTCACCTTCCAAACGATAGCGACAAGATCCCCTCCCCGACCCCGTCCCGATCCAGCAGCGAACAGCGCACAGGCTGCCGCGGCATCCAACGTTTGATCAGCGTGTGAGTGTCCATATATACGGACGTGCTTAACACTTCACTCTCGCTGCGGCGGAGGATCTTCCCTTTCTCCTTTAGCCGTTGCTTTCTGGAAGTGTGGGCGGGGCGATGGGGATGCTCCAGGCGCGCGTCGTCGTGCTTGTTCTCGCGGCGGCGGCGGCGGCCGTTGTGGTCGTCGTCGACGGCCAGATGTCGCCGGCGTTCTACGACGCCTCGTGTCCGGAGCTGCAGTCCGTGGTGCGCCGCGGCATGGCGCAGGCCGTGCAGAAGGAGGCGCGCATGGGCGCGTCCATCCTCCGCCTCTTCTTCCACGACTGCTTCGTCAATGTACGTTTCGGTTCCGGCCGGTCACGAGTTACATCCTGCCAACTGCGTGCTGAGTGTGGATGCGTGCGCAGGGGTGCGACGCCTCCGTCTTGCTGGACGACACGGCCAACTTCACGGGGGAGAAGAACGCCGGGCCGAACGCCAACTCGCTGCGCGGCTACGAGGTCATCGACGCCATCAAGGCGCAGGTCGAGGCTTCCTGCAAGGCCACCGTCTCCTGCGCCGACATCGTCGCGCTCGCCGCCCGCGACGCCGTCAGCCTGGTCGGTACCCGCTTCTCCCTCTCCCTCTTTCTGGCATCCTGGCCGGTGGCATTACTAACGGTGGCCGCGTGCGTGCAGCTCGGGGGGCCGAGCTGGACGGTGCAGCTGGGCCGGCGAGACGGGCTCTCGGCGAGCCAGAACGCGGCGAACGCCAACCTGCCGCCGCCGGACGCGAGGCTCCCCGACCTCCTCGCCAGGTTCAGCGACAAGGGCCTGGACGCGCGCGCCCTCACCGCGCTGTCCGGGGCGCACACCGTGGGCTGGGCACGCTGCACCACCTTCCGCACGCACATCTACAACGACACCGGTAACGAGGCCGTGGACGCCGCCTTCGCCACCCAGATACGCGCCAAGGCCTGCCCCTCCGCCGGCGGCGACGGGAACCTCGCGCCGCTCGAGCTGCGCGCCCCCGCCGCGTTCGACAACGGCTACTTCCAGGACCTCGTCGCCCGCCGCGTGCTCCTGCGCTCCGACCAGGAGCTCTACGGGAGCGGCGTCGGCAACGGCAGCACGGACGCGCTCGTGCGCGCCTACGCCGCCAACGCCACGCTCTTCGCGGTAGACTTCGCCGCCGCCATGGTGAGGATGGGCAACCTGGCGCTCACCGGGAAGAACGGCGAAGTCCGGCTAAACTGCCGGCGAGTGAACTGAGCTGACTCAGTCGATCAGTGAATGAATTCTTGATGTGCGCAACGCAAAAAGCATAAAGCTGTTCACAAAGATACAAAATGGGCACTGCTGTTCGTGCACTGGATTTTCTGCCTTTCTCCCGTTTGGTTCGGGGTGAGCAGCTAATATCTGACCCGTGGCAAGATCCTCTACGCAGGAGAACAAAATTTAGCCATTTTATGTGCAGATGGGCGGTTGAGATAGGGGCAGGGAATCCTCCCGGACTAGGTGCATTTCTAAGTTCTAACCGATCCTCTAAAAGAACGTAAGGGAGTAAAATTTCTGGATTAGAGTATCTCCAACTGCCGCACAAAAATTTCGCGCCCAATAAAAATTATAGCGCGTCATTTTAACACTTTGAGATGATGTTTGTTTCCAGAGACTTTTTTGTGTAGAGACTAGAAAAAGTCCCTCATAGAGACTTTTTTTACCAAACGGGAGAGACTTTTTAGGGACTAAACTAGGCATTTGAGACTAAATGAAGAAGACTCTCAAGGAGAGTCTTTTTGAGACTTTTTGGGACTTTTCCATCAATGCCCCTCCATGCATCCATTGGCCCGCCACCCCATGGTGTTGTTTGATTGTTATTTTTCTATATACTAGGGGCAACATGGTCATTTAATAGCCCCTAGGAAGGGACTAGGGACTTTTTAGTCTCTGAAAACAAACAGGGAAAGACTTTTTAGGGACTAGGGACTTTTTAGTTGGGACTAGAAAAAGTCCTAGGACTAGAGAACCAAACACCACCTTAATGCGTCTGAACCAACATTGCTATAGTAGACGCTTAAAAACGCGCGTCCAAAAAGCACGCAGTGCAAATTGTTAAGCGCGCGTAATCTGGAGCGCAAAATATGTTTCGCGGGATAGCGTTTTTCAGCGCGTGCCAAAAACTTTTAGCGCTACAGCGCCTGCTGGAGCTGTGCGGCGGCAAAAAAACAAAATTTTAATGCGCGGAGCTCTTTTTGGGCGTTTGTTGGAGATGCTCTAGTGAAGTAATTTATTTACCCCACCTCTCTATTTTCTCAAAAAATTCCCTAAATTTACTCCATCCCGCCACGGCCGAGTAAAACTGACGCCTCTCCCTCTCGCCCCTCCCGTGCCGCACTGTCTCCCACCAACATAGCTGTCGCCACTGATGACCGCCGGGCCGGCTGGAATGGATAGCCCGGCCACTGCCATCGACTTTTGCCTCCGGAAACCACCCACGCGTCGCGTTCGCCGCCGCCGAAGAGTTTGGGTATGAAGAAGAACCACCGTGTCCAAGCTCCTTCTCCAACCGCTCTAATGGTCTCTGGGGTGGCCACCGCCTCTCCGACAAGGACACGGCGCCCTCCCGCTGCACTTATCGAAGGCAAACAGGCCCGAAAGCTGACGGTGGTGGCGGCGGAGCGGTCGCGAAGAAGAAGATGAAGAAGGCCAAAGTAGCATGTCGTCCTAGGTCGACGCCTCATGCTGCAACTCCGTCAGCCTCCACGGCGACTGCTCCGGCGCGAGCGGCGGCTGCAACCAGCAATAAGTATGGCGGCTGCCAAGTGCTCGATGAAATGCTAATAAGGTAATAATAAAAACCTCACGTCGTGTCTCTATGCAATAGTGATTGTCGGTGATCGGTAATGATTGTTGATAGTGTTTGCTTTGATATTGTAGTGCGGAGATGAACACGACCGAATTCCTCGCATCGTTGGAGTCCTCGACCGCCATTGGCCTTGAAGAGCTCAACTACGACTCATTTTGGGATCATTCGGCCACCCAATGCATGGAGGAGGAGGAGGCCGAGGAGGTGGTCGAGGAGGAGGCCGAGGTGGTGGCCGAGGAGGAGGAGGGGGAGGAGGAGGAGGTTGTGGAGGTGACCGAATCAAGAACCAAGGTCCCAAGGTGACGCACCCAAAGCTAGAACCAAAAGGAGGACATTGCGCTTTGCGACGCTTGGTGCACCAACTCGATGGATGTGACATCAGAACAAATCAAATCGAGACCATGTTTTGGGAGAGTATTAGCGACTACTATAACAACTTCGTGGACGTGCGATCAAGCCATACCCAAGGTTTTCTTGGGCATTGTTGGGGCACCATTCATGACCAATGCAACGTGAAAAATGGGATGATGAAACTTTATGCTATGATGGTTATTATATGCATGTTTTAATTTAAATGTTTTTAAATATATATTGTGTAGTGTTTGAAGTTGGTGCTGCTAGGACACAAAATCAAGGCAATTTTATTTTTACTCCACTAACTTTTAAGAGATCGGCTAGGTGCGATCACCGTTAATAGAGTAAAATTTTACTCGACTAACTTTACCCCGCCGTCTGCTCTCTTAAGTTTTAGGTGATCGGTTAGAGTTGCCCTAAGGGCATTTCTAACCAACCCCCTGTAAAATATAGGGGGATACAGCCGATTAAACCTTAGTGGAGTACATTTACTCCACTAAGTTTTGGTCTGTTCTAATTAATTTGTTGAATCTAGGGGAGTAAAGTGCTCAATTGAGCTATGCATTTCATCAAACAGATACTACGCAGCGGCGCGCTGAACCGAATCGATTCGGGCAGCACCAATAGCAGCGGCATCAGTAGTTCGTGAGCTGCCACTAGCCGCACACATCGATGCAACACCAACATTAGCGGCCTGACCTTATCGTCAAGGACGAGCCGCACACGCGCCACGGCCTTGCTCTGCCGGCAGCCCAACACAACGATCCCGAGCAATGCGACGGCGACGGGCACCGACCACGCGCTCCTCGTCGCGCGCCGCCCACAACCGCAACACCTCCACGGGCAGCTTCCACCACCGTGTCTCTGTCGCGACCCCTCCCTTCGCCATGGCCCCTGTACGCGGGCCAGTCATCGCCAGGAGCACGTTGGCGTAGCCGGTCATCGGGTTGCGATGCAGAACGTGAGGCCGCCAGCACGCCTGTCCCGTCGAAGCTCTAGGATCAGGGCCGTTCCGGCACGCGACTGGTCAGGAGCACTCCAAATCCACATCGTCGACATGGACGCCCTCGACTAGCGACCTTGATGAGTAGACGGGTGGCGGACGTCGTCGGGGCGAAGATGGGGCCTTTCGCGGCTGGCTACCAGCAGCGCCATCCTGATGGAACAATCCAAACGTGAGGGCGCCTAAAGGCGGCAGGGCGCAGGAGAGGGAGGATGCCTCTCTGCCAACGACACGACGCTAGCCCCGGCATGTGGCGGCGCAGCGAATGATGGCCACCTGGTGAAGATGGCCACGAGCTCGAAGCCCGTGAGAAGGGCGTCATTGGCGCTGGCAATGGGTGGCCTGACTACGGCAAAGGCGAGGAAGAGGAGGGTGAGGACGCCCCTGGTCACGGCCAGGACCGCGAAGCAGTCGGTGGCCTTGGTCCTGCAGCCGCGCGGATGGGAACAGCGGCGGCGGCGCGCAGGAGCAGCAGGAAAAGGCGAGAGAGAGCTGAAATTTATCCTCCAGCCCGTCTCGGTGGAGTATATTTTCTCCTTCGGTGCGGGTCAGAGTAAAATTATCCTCTCTTATACGTTTTAGAGGACATGTTAGGTTTGGCATAAGGGAGTAAAATCGTATTTATACTCACTAACACCCAGTGGCGGAGCTTGGCAGGAATCTAGGGGGGAGGGAGGGAGGGAGGGAGGGGTGCAAAGCAAAAATTCGCATATAAGATTTGACTGAAGTCAAGCCTCATAAAATTTGACCAACTTTATAGAAAAAAATACCAACATTCATAATCTGAAATCAATATCAATAAATGTGTCATGACTTAAAGTTTCGTATTGTATAACTTTAGCATGACAGATGTTGATATTTTTATATATAAATATGATAAGAATTTTAATATGCAGAGTAAAAAGGATCGGAGGGAGTATGAATAACTAGGAGGGCAAAGGATTATATTTTTTCCAAATCTAATCCATGCATGGTAAATTCTCTTCATCGTTTTGCCTTGGGCTGGGGCTGTGTGCCCCCTTAGACTTGTACTAAGCTCCGCCAATGCTAACACCGGATATGGGATCAGTTAGAAACGCCCCAAGAAACGCAGATGTTACATTACGTATTGTGGATTACGGGTTAATGTGGCATCACTTCGTTGGATATCACAAGGCTCTACACATAGGGGATAGAGAATCTTTGAGGGCACTTCCCAAACCTCCTCCGTCGAGCGTTTGCTCATAAAATTCAATGACAAAATTTTCATACATTGCCCGCCATCTTCGGCAACGTGCGTCACTATGAGCTGACTTCACCTAGTGTGGTGCCGTTTCTGCTCCGGTGCTCCCCCCTGGGCTGAACGCGAGTGGGAAAAACACAAGGACGGTCCAGATGCGTCGATGGCGGTTCGTAACTAGGGACACGATGGTCATTTCAGGTGGGTGTATAGCGCGCGTAGACCAGTCGTAGAGCCTTGTATGAGCCCGCGCCGGCCCGTGTACTATTGTACGCCAGGCGTGTACGTGTATTATACGCTGGCGGTTGCGTTTTCCCGCGGTCGTGTGCGTGCACGTGTTCGTGGGTAGTTGCCAAAAAAGGCCCCTAGTATAAGAGGAGGGGAACGGGCACCGGCCGCATCGCCCACCCCATTTCCCCCAAATCGCCTCCCTCTCCCTCCTCTCTGCTCTGCCTCATCGTCTCCCTCACCGACCACGCCACCTGCTCGCTCACCACCGCCGCCTCCCTCTCTTCTCCTGCTTGCTTCTGGCTCGGATGGAGCAAGGCCGTGGCGAAGCCGCTGTCGCGGGCGGAGATCTGCAGAAGATGGGTGCGGAGACCGTGGCAGATGCCGTGCAGACCCTCGTCGGCGACGCGGGTGCAGGAGCTGCTGCATCCCCACGCGCTGGATTGGTCGCTGAAGCGGCGGATCTGGAGGAGAAGAAGGTGGCCGTGGCGGACTCCGCCGTGGCGGACTCAGCCGTGCCGGTGCTTGGCGTGACAGCGTCGAGCGGCCCGTCTGATGGACCTGCGGAGGCCGGCGGCGAGCACGTGGACCTGCAGGTAATC